AAATAGTTTAACCAATCCGCGGCGAGTTCCGACACTTCACCGGCAAGCTCTACCCCCACTCTCTGTGCCTAAGCCTGCAGCTTATAGTTTTCAAGCATCATTCACATTATTGAAACCATAATAGCTCCGTGGTAGCGCACCAATCTTTTATTTTGCTGGGCAGGGTTCGATCCCAGTCATAGGCAATTGTTTTTTCTTTTTTTTGCTTAAGTGACTTTATATACTTATAAATTAATTCATATATTTGATTAAATTATTCTTCCAATTAATTACGGAAAACAACTTGTTTTTCTGAAAATAAGCTGAGGGTGAGGAACGAGTTACTATGAATTCTCTTTTTTCGAAAATGTTGTCTTTAAAAGACAATAGGAATTGATTTTGAACTTATATAAGCAACCAATTATTGTATTTATATAAAATTTTAATGAAAAAAAAAGGATAGCTAACACATCATCTCTGACATTATGTTTATGTTTATAAATTGTATAATGCAGGCTTGGGTACGAAGGGTAGGGATAGAGTTTGCCGGCGAAGTGCCGGAAATCCCCGTGGATTATTTCAACTACTTCTAAATATTTCTAAATTGCTTAAAAAAAACTACGTTCATATAGCTATAGTAAAAAAAGTGTTTATATCCCTGTTCATATGTTTTCCAACTCGGCGTCGATAAATTACATAAATAATTAAGAAGAAAAAATCAAATCTTTAGTAAGAATTCATTTTAGCATGTCAATATTATAATTACATGCAAATCTAACAAATGAAAAAGAAAAAAAAACTTTATCATGACTGGAATTGAACCCTGCTTAGCAAAATAAAAGACCGATGCTGTAACCACTGAGCTATTATGGTTCCAATATACTTATATATGCTTGAAAATTATAAGCTGCAGGCTTGGGCACAGAGAGTGGGGGTAGAGCTTGCCGGGGAAGTGCCGGTACTCGCCACAGACTGTTTGAACTACTTTTCAATGTTAATAATAATATGATTAACTTGTTAATAACATAACATTGTTAATACATGTAAAGATGTATAAGTTGTTAAACACAGGCTATTATCATGTATTTATACAAAAAAAAAGTTTATGGCTCTGTTCAAATATTTCCGACTTAGTGTCAATAAATTCAATGAGTAAAGAGAAAAAAAAATCAAATCGTTATAAAGGATTAATTATGGCATGTCAATATTATAATTACATGCTAATCTAACGAATAAAGTAGAAAAAAAAGTGATTATGACTGGGATCGAACCCTGCCCGGCAAAATAGAACTCTGACGCTCTAACCACATGGCCAGCATAATCTCGATATTGAGTTTATGTGTATTTGTTTTTACACTACATGCTTGGATACGCCGACTTGGAATTGAGCTTTTTGATTAACATTTATACCTAATAAAAATGATGATAATGGATGAATATTTGTTGAAGTTATTTTCAGGTATTATATTGATTAATGTTAAATGAGTATCATCATTTTCATTTATTCTAACTGCAATAGTCATCAAAGTGTAGGGCATTGTAAAGTAATACACTATGTTTACATCACATACATATATTACCCGTACACACATACACAAATTACTCGCCAAAATGCAGGGCACCATCAGTTCTGGATACGGATTGCGCATTTTTTCAATATGGATGACTGAGGTCATCTGCGAGCATAATGCTGTCACCTATCGGAATTTTTTCAAACTAATTTTCCGGAGAATATCATCTGGAATACAATATTTCTAATTATTTCTAAATTATTCAATTTTATACTATGAATTGATTCTTTTGACATTCAGACAGGTGGCAAGGACAGACGCAAACACGAATTTTGGGCGAAAAACGTATAAAAATAGAATAATTCGTGATTTTTCATCTGAATGATGTGGCCGCCATCTTGGAATTTAAGCGCGGCAAGTCAATTCATAATTTTTTCATTATTCTTTCTAATTTTTTTAATAAAAATATTCACTATATACAAAAAATTGTTGTTTACGTCAGTCCGGCATTAATTCCTCTGTAATTTGGTACCTAATTTTATAGAAATAATAGTAAATTGGCGAAGAAATTAGAAATATCCCGATCCCATGTATTTGGATAGGGGGAATCAGTCGCCTCTCTGACTTCAGCCCAGCCTTAAATGATTAAAAATAAAAAAAACCAATTTTAAAAGATTAAAAGAATAAAGCTTATTTTTAAAATGATCATTAGATAAAAAATCTGGGCATCATAGAATTTGATTGACAGTCAGTAAGATTATACATTTAAAGATTTAAATTTAAAAGATTGTAAAAATGCCTTTGACTGACATCTTATTGGGGACGGATGTCACGCTCCCGTTGTGCGACTACTTCATGTTGTCGGCAGTCATTTCGAAGCTGTTTCTGCGACACCTGTGGTCAATGTGATAAAATTATTATAGACACTAATATTTTCAAAAGTGAACTTTAGAGGCGCTTTTTATTGAACTCAACTCTTGTTTTCATCTCCGGTGGAATCACTCTCATCTCGATTCATGTTTTATTCAACTCACCTCCGGTGGAAACTAAGCCACAGAGAGAAGACTTCTGGATAGAGATGTGAATTTACCGGTAATAGAAAATTCGGTAATTACCACGTAAAATTACCGTTATCTGACGGTATTCTGACGTCAAAAAATTCTGAATGTAAAATTTACCGTCAAGCCGTCGGTCAGCGTAATTACCGTAAATTACCGGTCATTCGCATTTATATAGATGAATATGATGAGCTTTTTACCGAGGAAATGGCTTGCTTTCGAACTTGCTTGCCAATTTGCTTAAGTTAATTTTGCTTTTTGCACTTGTTAATTTAAAACTAATTAATTATTATAAGATGAAAAAAAAATTTTGTAATTTGTAATAAAAAAAATATTTTACATTTTTGACTGTTAGGACAGAAATAATAAATATATTGAAAATTATTATAAACGTTTATTTAGTTAAGTTTTTGGTACATTTTTTTTTATAAAATAGATAATCCTTCGTTATTACATATTATAAAGAATTTGACTTTTTTAACTTTTATGTAAATTATTTATGAAAAAATAAAACCATATAATCTATAGTTTCTATCAACTAGTAATATCACATAATAATTGACATATTTCATTAGGAAATAACAAGTCTAATACTGATTCAATTCCATCAACATCACTAATTAGTCTTGAGTAAATTCTTCTTCTAAAAATTCAACTTCTTCATGCTCAGCACAAATTTCACTTATTTCATCCTCTCCTTTATTACTTTCCTCATCTTCTTCCCATTCTTCTTCTGTATTTTTTAGTGAAGGATTAAGTAATTTTAAATTTCTTGCAATGTATGTTATTTTTCCAGCTCTATCGATACTTAACTTATTTCTTTTAGATGAATGAATCCATCCTTGTGTACTAAAGGAACGCTCGGTTGCAGCTGATGTTGCAGGTAAAGTCAATATAGCCACAGCTATTTTGCTCAACGAAGATTTTTGGCAAATACTTTGCCACCATTGACATGCTGAAGTGATTATACTTGCTCGCTTAACGTAGTCGTAACTCCACATACTTGATTCTGACACATAATCTGTTAAATCTTTTAATACCTTAACACTATTTAGATTTAATTTATCACCAAGATTTATAATTAATTGATGAGCTTCAACCATTTCTGACCTATTTAAATTTTTTCCTTTTAATTGAGGATCAAGTAAGTTAGCTGCATAATGTATGGGCCGTAGAGCCATAGTTTTACGATTTTCTAAACAAGTATATATGCTCAGCTTTTCTTCTTCCGAAAAAATATTTCCAATATTATTAAATGCATTATTAAAATGATTATATAAATCATAAAAACATTCAGGTACTTTATTTATTAAAGGGTTATCACCCTCTAAAATATTTATCCACTTTACAATCGGTTTCATCAATTGAAGAATTTGTTGAAGATTATTCCAAAATTCTTCATTTAGTACAAGAGCACGAGAAGCAGGTTTCCATAATGTAATAGCCTTTGAAGAAATTGCTAAAGCCTGAAGATTATGCTTATTAACACAAAGACTGTCAATCATAATTATAGTAGATCCAAATCTTGTCTTAGCTGGTAATTTTAAGGTAATAAATACTCTACGTTCATCTTGAGATTGAATTTCTTTGAAAATCGCTGACATTATTTGTACTTCTTTTATTCCTTTTACAATAGCTGTTGCACTTGTCACCAAAGTTTCAACAGTTGCTTGACTACCAATATCTTTCATGAGTAGGTTAAGAATGTGAGCAGCACAACCATAACAATACAATTTGTCGACATTATACTTTTGATCTATCAAAGTCCAAGCACTTTTCATTGCAGCACAATTATCTGTACAAATTCCGATAACTTTTTTAATTCCCAAAGCATCAATAACACTTCCTATTTTTTCAGAAATATATAAGGCAGTTTGTGATTCGGTTCCAGTTGGAAATGTTTTGAAAAAAACTGGCGCTGGGGTTGTTACAATAAAATTGATGATTCCTTCTTTGCGAATATTAGACCATGCGTCACATTGCACTCCAACAGTAGTAGCAGATTCAATTTTTTCATTAACCATATTTTGTGTTCTAACGAATACTGAATCTAAAAGATTATTTGATATTTGATTTCTTGATGGCAAATTAAATGAAGGCCGTAATGCGTTAAAAAATTTTAGCCAATATGGATTTTCTGTTATACATAATGGTGTACCAGATGCATAAATCGCTTCTGCAAGTAGTTCTTGTAGAGAATCTTCATCTTTTTTTGACATTTTATCACAAAAACTATCGATTGTATTTTTTTTATAGTTATTGCTACAAACACTTATATTATTTGGTAAATTTTCATTTGAAATCATTGAAGTACTTGCTCTATTGTCTGCTTCATTCAAATCTTCAATAGTAAATGAGTCGTCTGTGCTGTTTAGATGAGAATTATTTCGTTTACGAGGTTTACATGGTTTTAAAAGTTTCCGTAAGTCTTGAGGACAACTTCTACACTCTTTATAAAGATGTTTTCGCATGCGAGTAATGTTTTCTGCATACTTTTTCTTGCAATAGTTACATGAATACGATTTTAATTTTTGGTTAGGTTGCAGAGGTAATGCAGAGAAATGTTTATATATTGATTTGTTCTCCCCCATTGCACCAAGTTCTCAATGAAAATCCTTATCTACAAATTGAATTTTCTTATATTAAATATTATCAGTATTTTTAATAAACAAATAAAAATGAAAATATATACCTGATAGAACAAATAAACAGTTGTATGCCGTTGGGAATTCTAAACTGTGATTGGACATGTATTAACCAATCAGAGATCAGCATTTTTCTGACCGGTATGGTAAAACAGGCTTGGTCATTGACGCGTTTTTTACCGGTAATTTACGGTAAATTTACCCGTCAATTACCGATTCACATCTCTACTTCTGGAAGAGAGTTCCTCATGTGTTTTGGTACGCTTGCGCTGTAGCGAAAAACGTGGTAGAAGGAGTAAAAAATCAGTGGTGGGGAGCCCGGAAGCATTGAAGTAACTGAGGAACTCTTTTCTCAGTTCGACAATATTTCGGAATCGGTCCATTGTTCAGTTTATTTTAAGTTTTTTTTATATATAATATAAACTATATAATGGCTGTAGTGCGAGGTGTTGATATTTCAATCAATTTCTGGTTCGATATTTTTTACGAATATTTTTGGCATTTTTAATTGTGTAAGTTTTAATGTACATATTTTTCAGTTTTATTTGGTTTGTTTATATTATATTACTTTTATTAATCATTCTAGGACGCTAGAAAAAACAGAACCCTTTAACAGAAAAATACACGATGATGAATTATGGTTATATAAAAATCCGAAGACTGATTCTTACGTTCCGACGACTGTTTTATGGGTATTTATTCTTTATATGAATATAATTTCTATCATTATTTATTTATTAATTCTGTCAAATTTAAAAAATACAATTATGACTGTTTTTCAGCCATTAGTATTTATCACTCCCGCACTAGTCATTACTTGTACTTTTTTAATTTATAAGGATAAAGTTGATTTTGCTCAAGCTGTACTCGCAGTTACGTTAGCTCTTGGTTTAAATGGACTGATTACAAATGTTATAAAGATTATTGTAGGTAAGTGTTATTTACACATTTTATCATCATTATTATTGAAAATTACAAATGTTAATAGTAAAAATAACTCATTAAACTAACTGTTAATGAATTATTCATAAATTTTATTTATATTTATTATTAGGAAGACCACGACCAGATTTTTTTTGGAGATGTTTTCCTGATGGGTTAGCAAATGTAGAATTAAATTGTACAGGAAATCCGAATGAAATAAGGGATGGAAAAAAATCTTTTCCTAGTGGACACTCATCATGTATGTTATATTAGTACTGAAAAATAAATATAAAAATATCTATATCGATAATAAATTAATAAATTCTTGATATTTTTAGTTGCATTTGTAAGTTTTGGATTTACTGCATTATATTTAGCTGGAAAATTAAAAACGTTCAGTCTGTCTGGTAAAGGCAATTCTTGGACATTATGTTGTTTTTTACTACCCTTGATAGGAGCTCTGTGTATTGCAATAAGCCGTACTTGTGATTATCATCATCATTGGCAAGGTATATCGATAATATCAAATATTTAACAACGTTATTGATATTAATTTCGTTTTAAATCCATAAAATTATCAATAACGAAGTTTTTTTCTACAGATGTTGTTGCTGGATCTCTTATTGGATTTTTGATAACGTATATGTGTTATCGACATTATTATCCGTCACTTGATTCTCATGTATGTTATAAATCATATATTACCATAGTGAAGCATGGAGAGTTAAAAAGTATTCAGTCTTTACGAGAAGACCAAATAAAATGGATATAAAAGTTTTCTTTTTTTACATTTTTATCCTATTCTTTCTATTTATTTTTTTTATCATACATACCGTCACTTAGACGTAAATGAAATGCTAAAAAATAAAGTATCCAAAGGATGAATGATACTTAAACTTCGATTTTCGAAAAAAAATTATTTACGATTCACTAAGAACCCACAAAAATTAGAACAATAGCTACACAAATTGGAGACTAATATAAAGGTTCTCTAATAGTAGAAGATAAAAATTTTTTATTGTTACGTTTATTTGCTTTTGTATTTTTGCAAAGCAGTTTATTCGATTTTTAATTTTGTAGTAAATAAAACTATTATAGAGGATCATTAATCAATTTGATTAATTTTTCAAATGTCAGAATTAATAAATATATCAAATATTAAATTATAAAGTAGTACAACGTATTATACAGAAAAAGCTCACATTGAATGGTATTTAATGTCAATACACTTAAATTCTGCAATTAACGTTTATATTTCGTATGTCATGGTCGATTAAAGAATATCTCACTGTCATAATTGCACAGCCTTTGGAACTTGTTTATATTTGTATCTGTAAATTATCGTAGAACATAAATTTATTAAAGTTCGAAATCAGGCTATTGATATATCTTAATTTGTAGGCTGTTTCGTCATTTGAAATTTAATTATTTATTTCACATTTACACTAAAAGATAACTAGAATAACTGAAAAATTTATTTTTATAAAATGAATAATTAGCAGAGCATCATTATTATGTGGAAAATTTTAGTAATATATTAGCAATGAATTGCTAATTTATTCATTCAGAGAAATTTATATCAGAACAATCATACAATTCATTCACAATTCATATTTCATTTACAAAGAATAAGTACGCCAAACATTCCACATTATACAATTTTCGCGCTATAAATTAATTACATAAAAAATTTTTAATTTACTATAATACATTATCTTATTGTATAGTTATCTTGTACGTATAATATTTTATCCAATTTTTTGAAAAAATTGCCCATTATTCTTCTGCTGATTGGGAAATTTCTTTTGTCATTTAAACGTATAATAATAGAAAAAGTTGGTTTTTTAATTAAGAAATGACAAATTTCTCTAATTTCGCGATAGACAAAAAAATTTTTTCTCACATTCAGTTCATCTTTACATTCCATGTGCATTTTACATGATTCAATTCATTGTTGATCAATAAATATCCATTTAAATTCATTATCTTAATATTTTTTTATTCCATTTTTGTTGGGCACTAATGTTATTTATTCACAGATCCCAAGTGAATACATTAAGTATTCACTTATTTACCACAAATCTAAAAACAACATCATAACATCAATTTCATAACTCTTGAAAAAAGAGAGTATGAAAATTTCATACATAATTAATTACATTAATATTTGTTCGTTAATTACTTACATTCGTATCACAATAAATGATTAGATCAGTTTTCATACGTCACTCAAATGCTAAAATATTTAAAAATAAAAAAAAAAAATTTTTTAAATTTAAAGTTAACAGAATAAAAAGTGAATGTATCTAAAATATGTATTAAAGTTACATACGGGATGGAGATCTGGTATCAGCTTGATTAGTATTCGATGGTGGATTCGGTACAGTAGAACTACTAACAGCATTATTTTCAGATCCATTGCAATTAAGAAAATCCCAAATAAGTATGGTATCATCGTGGGACGAAGAAACTATTTGAAATTCATCAAATTGTAAACGGAAAACCCGTCCTGTATGTTCCTAGAGATTAAAAGAAATAAATTAGTTCAAAACATTGGATTTTACGAATTATTATATTATTTTTGTTTTTACCACTAATGTACGTAAACAAAGTGTACTGGCAAGTGCTCGAGGATCTAGAGCAGCAACTAAATCCCATACTTTAATTTTACTAAAATACAGTAAAAATCAGATTAAAAAACTGATCTAGAGTTAAAAGTCAATTGAAAGAAAAAAGATAGTTACCCATCATAGGCTCCGCTAACAATGTGTTTTCTATCAAATCTTATACATCTTACTAATTCTTCATGCCCTTCAAGAACACGCAAACACGCACCACACTCAACATCCCATAGTCTGATAGTATTGTCGCTACTACCACTAACCACTAAGCGATCTCTATATTGCAAACACGCAATTCCCCGTTTGTGGCCGTTTAACGTTCGTACAAATTCACAACTTGAAGTGTTCCATACTTTAATTGTCCTATCACCACTAGCTGACACTATGTATTTTTCGTCAAAATCCACTACGTTAACAGCTGCTCGATGGCCGACTAATACCCTACGTAAAGCAATTTCTGTTTGCGATGTCATATCCCAGACAGCTATTGAACGGTCCTACAAATAGAAAATTGTTATACTTTATCGTACTATACATTAATTCAACATGCAAATACGCCGTAAATATTATAAAGATATGATGAATAATAAAGAGAAATTAATGAAATATTTTAAGCATAAATAATCGAAATCTTTTTTTATTACCTTGGAACAAGTTACCATCATTCCATTATTGAATCTTAGATGCAATACAGCTTCACAGTGATGTATCAAAGTATTAACCATTTCTCCGGTATTAGCATCCCAAACTCGGACTGTACTATCGGAAGAGCCAGATATAATAGCTTTATCATCATATTGTAAACAAAGTACAGAACCCGTATGACCAGTTAAAACTTTTATACACTGTAATGTATTTCGATCCCAAATTTTAATAGTATTGTCTCTCAAACCAGAAACTATTTTTTGGTCATCGTACTGTAGGCAATAAACACCTTTGGAATTTTCACTTCGGCAATTAATCTTTTGTAATTTGTGTTTCCCCATTCGCCAATTGTTATCAATACTTTCAATATCTTTTACAATATTTGGAAATAGATTCCTATAAAATGCATGATCACGATAATTTTCACCTGGTCGTGGTTTAAATAAATGTTGAATCCTGTAATTTTTAAATCATATTTGAAGTTTAGTTTTCTATAGATAAAAAAAATTGTTTAAAATATTTTTGTAATAAAAACCATCCACGTCTTTCAGCTAATCCTCGCCAAACTGAATCTGTTCGTACTTTACGCTCAATTAGCTTTTTCCAAAGCATTCCTTCACTAATTACCCTATACCACTCTTTACATACAAGTTCCGCTGCATAAAGTGAATCAGCATCTAAGTAAGATAATATACTTTCTGCTACATGATCTAATCCTTTTTCTAAAAGAAAGAAAAAATAGATTTATAAAGCTGTATTCTCTGTTATTTGTCGAAAAATATATTTTAAATTAACTTACTAGGTAATAACGAAATAAAATCCCTTTGTAACATAGGCTTGAGGAAAGTATTGATATGACCATGTTGATAATGACACATACGTGCTAATAATTGTTCTACAAAATGAACTTGCTCTGGTTCACTCCATCTTTCAAAATATTTCATGCACATTTCCCGTTCTTGAGTATATTGGGTTGTAAGATTCATTGTTTGAGATAATGGCTCTTTTTTACGACTGGGATCATACAATATCGTCATTGAATACTGAAAAAAAAATAAAATTTATTAATTTTTTTTCTTCCTTTATCAAATAATAATTATTTTTATACATATTAATAGACAATTATTTCATTTGAATAAGACTCAAACATACTATTAGAACAACATTTCCCATATTTTAAAATCGTTATTTCAAAAATATCAACGCAAACTTCTAATTCCTGATGTTAATATTCGTCTCAATATATAGATTTTTATTTAGAATATATCATTACTGGTTCAAATCTTTATTATAATCATTATTAAAAGTTGAACATATTTAAAATTGTGAACTTATATAGAACACGATAAAATTATTTTTTTATTAAATAATACAACAAGCAAATAGGTTAGTATTACCTATAATATAAATTTTGTGGTTCTTGGCCTCACTTGTTCAAGCAAATTCTTTTATGTACTGTGGACAGTATAAATTACCCAGTTTTACGAGACTAAGTCACCAATTGGTCCAGTTTTTTTGTTGCATCATAATTAATTTTTGAAAAATTAAATAAATTTATAATAAGAAAAACAATGATACAGTGGAACAAAAAATAAGTTAAGATATTTAGTCTCACTTTTTAAGATATTTAATTTAATTTTTGAAAAAAAAAATATCAAAAAGTAATAACCAATAAACATTTTTTTTAACCTGAAAAACATTTAAACTTAAATCATGAAATTATTTATACTTAGTTATTCTTGACAAAAACATTGAGTTTTGTCATTGCATGTATAGGAGCAGGCGCGTATTGAAAGAATAAGTAAGCAAAAACATTGATTTTATGGTTATAACGGCATCTCTTTGTTTTTTATAAAACAATAAAAATTCGTAAAAAAAAATTTTTTTATCAAAGATTAACTTTACAATAAAGATCATTCAAATTAATGGTACATGTAAAAAATGTACTTTTCCTATAAATATTAAATTTATTTTGAATTATATTAAATTTTAAAGGAATTATAAACAAAAATAAAATACTTTTTAAAATTAAAAAAAAATCACTAATGAAATAGAATTTACAGTAAAGATGGATGAAAAAATTCAAATAATCGGTCAATACACTGTTAGAAAAGAGCAATATTCAATCAATTATCCGTATATTCAATTTCAGTTTGTTTATTACTCTTTACGAAAATTTTTTTTTTGATTCAGTAAATTATGTCGATGCTAAGGAAAATATCTCAGTAATTTAATACAATAAAGCTACTTAAATTTGAAAATAATTAGATAATAATTATTTTTACATATTATTAATATAACGTATCTGTATGTATATATATCTAATTTATTTAAATAGAAATAAATACATATGTAATTAGTAGTTTATTAGTCATATCAACATAAGATGATAGTATTGGAAAGGTAATAAAGTAGTGGGAGAAAATGGATTAGATGGAGAAAAGAGAAAGAGACTAGGAAAAAGGGGAGGGGGAAAGAGTGGAACTAAAAGTACTGCAACTAGATAAGATGTTTTTAAGGATATTGAAAAAAAATTAAGACCAGTTTAACGATTAAAAATTCAATTTACATGTTATAACTTTGATTTACCGGATTATTTGTATTCGTATCTTCGAGAATTTTATCTGTCTCCATGTTGATCATTTTTCAACACTTGGGGTCTTTGCACCCCTACCTTGAAGGCTTGTGCACCCTAAAATTGCTTCTAAATGTTTATAAGAATTTATTTGTGGATACTTTAAAACTATTCTTTTTTTCTTTTTAATAAACAGATGCACACAAAATTTAAAAAATTGCAAAAGCTTATTTAACTACTACACTCTCTCAAAACGATGAATGACGCTCGTTAGGCATCGCCATGCACAGGAAGTTAATGTAGAATTTCACCAACACAACGAATTATAAATGACCATGTTATGATTTGATACTCCGATAAATTTTATTACAATGTAAATGAAATATATATGTATATGTATATATATATGTATAAGTTTAAGTATGAACAATTAGTTTAAAAATGAACGGGAGCACTTTAAATGAAAGTAAAAATTCCTTTTTAATGGTCATAACGGTCATAAGCAGACGTAAATGACAAAGTACTAATCATGTCGAAGAGTATAGTTAAGTCGGTAATGAGTTTACAATGGTAACCAATGCTGCACAAGATGGCGCTCAACAACTTTGAATTTGGAAGTTTATCCTCGATGCTCGAAAACCATGATTCAGCACGTTGATGTAAATTTAACGCAGTTTGCCATATTTCAGCATAAATTGTTATATCAAAACACCAGACTTGAGACAACGAGACGACTCTTGAGGAATTATATTATACACATAATACATATGTCATATTATCATTACATTCAAATAAAAAAAAAGGAACAAAAAATAACTTCATCAATAGTCATCGTCCTACTAAATTTATTGAAGTTTATGATGATTTAAAATTTTGCTAATATATTTTTTCCAATCTTTGTCAATGAAAAAAAAACTTTTAAAAAGAACACTTTGTTGCTAAAAAATCCCAAATTGGAAAATTGCTATAGCTTGATTTATAAGTCAATTTATTTAACAAAAAATGTTAAAAACTATATGAAAAAGGAATTTAAAAAATCTCTTATAATATAAGAGCTTAGATTATCAGAAAGACAAAAATATGTTATAATACATTTTTGACATTTTTGCAAAAATTATACATCTCTTGGTATCGTAAAATCCCTATTTATTTTTGTTGGTACGGCTAGAGAAGAGAGACCATTGGTCTCTCTTCTCTGGTACGGCTTTATAACAAATGATAACAAAGTTTCGCTCTTTACCCCAAAGTGTAAAAATGCTAAATTTCTTTATTCAAAAATATGTACAGTACCGGACATGAAGAACATGGAGAATATAACATGTTATATTCTCCATGATGAAGAATATAGACTATATTTTTCATGGTTATACATCTGATTTTCCTATACCCTCCTATACAAAATTACACAGTATTTACATATGTCCGGTACTGTATACTGTACATACTCGATTGAATAATAAAATTTCTAACATCTGATACAATTTGCGTTTACCTCAATGAAAAATCAAGTTTTTGAAATTTGGCTACAATGTAAATTTCATTCATCCAGTAAAATTTTTTGCAATGTCCATAAGCAATTGTGATTGGACAATTAACTTCAGGCCACATTGTTAGTAAACATTAGATTCATCGAGGAACAACCGAGTCTGGCAGTCGCACAAATTTCTTCGTTTAAATATGACTGAATCTTATTTCAAGGATAATAATGTGATAGTTTAATAAAAGTTTAACCGATTTTTGTACTTAAAAACACTAATTTCTAATTATTTTCTAAATACGTTAGCGACATTTCATATATTTATAAAAAATTAAATGATTATCTAAATTTATTTGTAAATAAAATCCGTACTATAGATAATATTATCAATATTAGTCAATGAAAGTATTAATTTATTGAAGTGAAATTATATTGTTGAAATTCTTAAAATATTTAAAAATGTTTTTTATATGTTTAACGGTCGGCCTAGTTTTTTTGGCTTCTAAGCTTCGTGAGAATGTAATTCACAGTGTCAAAAATTTATGTCATAATGTTATTTCTCATAAATCCAACATTAGTGATGATAATAATAATAATTATCAAATTATTAATAAACAAGCACTCATTTCGTTAGATAAAATTATTTTGGCTGATTCTCCGGAAAAATGTGATTATGCCATTCAACAAATTTACTGGTATTTTCTTTCTTGTTTACCCATCTATTCAATAAAAGTTCTTATTTGTTGTTTACATTTGTTTTGATTTATTCCAGTGACTCAACTGATAATGTGTTGGGATTCGATTGCGAATGGGTGAACGAAAGTTCTGTTTCTTTGCTTCAATTAGCAACCAATAATGGACTTTGTGCTTTATTCCGTCTTGGAAAAATAGGATATGTTCCATTGAAGCTCAAGGTATATGTAAAATGTCCATGAAATATTTAAACAAATAAAATAAAATAAATTATTAATCATGTTTAGGAGTTATTGGCAAATAAATGCATTATAAAAGTAGGTGTAGGATCATTTGAAGATGGGAAAAGATTAACCAGTGATTATGGATGTACTGTCGTAGGGACAATTGATTTAAGATTATTAGCGAATCATTTAGAAATTTCTAGTCATCAAAATTTATCTGCTCTTTGTCTTCAATATCTTGGAATCGAATTGAATAAAACCTATGAAGTAACATGTAGCGACTGGAATGCTATTTCTCTGACTGATGAACAGATTGAATATGCAGCTTCAGATGCTATAGCTTCTGTTTTAATTTTCTATCAGGTATTTTATATAAATTAAATCAAACTATTAACGTTTGATTAAAATACTCTTCATTTGATTAGATGAAAAAAGTAGCAGATAAAAAACGCTCAACATGGAAAAAAATTGTAATATTTATTAAAAAAACATGGGCGAAAGGAACATATTGTGACTTACCTGAAGGAATATTAGATACAAGGTATTTTTTAAGTTATTTATGGTACACATTGTTTTTTTTTCATTTATACAATTTTTTATTTTTATTCTTTAGATATAGGAGTTCATCTCAAAGTTCAAATGGTAAATTACAATCTAACTCAAATCAATGCAGTGAAATGAAAAAGCAGAATGTAGAACTTTCTGAAAAATTGAATATATTCAAAAAACCTAGTATTCCAACACGAAAGGAGCCTCTATATCATAATTGTTATTTACAAGCACCAGATGGTGAAACATTATGTACTTGTGATCGTAAAAAAGCCGAATGGTACATCAATAAAAATTTAGGTACTAAAGTGAATGATGATCCACTTACTGTGAAACTGAATTTTGAACCATCTGGTCGCGCTTTTGGTGAGGTTGGACGATATTACACTCAAGTAAAAGTCAATCAATGTGTTGTGTGTGGTGCCTCGGATAAGTTTATTAAGAAAAACGTTATTCCCAGAGAGTACCGCAAATACTTCCCATGTAAGATACTTTTTATAGATTTTTTTCAATTTTTAATTATTAAATAACCTAAATAATTTTTTTGTAGTGGTTATGAAAGCACATCAATCACATGATGTCCTTCTTCTTTGCCCAACTTGCCATGAGAAAAGTAATAAAAATGATTTAGATATGAGGAGAAAATTAGCAGTTATGTGTGATGCACCATTATCAAAAGCAATTTTACAAACACGAAATGATCAATACAGAAAAAAAAAAGAATTAATATCAGCAGTGAAGGCTCTAAAATTTAGTTCTTCGATTCCACCTCAACGCAAGAGAGAATTAGAAATTCGCATTGCAGAATACACAAGTCAATCTAAAGCACCTTATGATTTAGCTGAATTAGTACAAAAACGAATTAATAATGAACCTGTTACATCGACGTCTCACCGACAAATGAGACCTCCACACGGGTTAAAGGTTTGAAATATAGTCTATGTTATATACGTAAAATTATAAAATAGTATATTTTTCAATTTAAATAAATTTATTGAATATTTTATTGAAATATATTCAAAATGTAAATGTTTTTTTTTAAATAGGTAGTTCAGTATTTTACTAATTCTGAAGGAGGACTTGTAACTTTAGAGAGAATGTGGCGAGAACATTTTTTGACTACAATGCAACCACAATATCTACCAAAACTTTGGTCTGTTCGACATAATCAGGAGAGATTAATGATTCGTCAAACACAAAATAGAATTGAACCGGAAGATGCTAAAGTAGCTGGTCTTTCAAGATGATAAAATTGAAAAAAATTTAATTTCAAATTAACTTATAAATCAAAATGATAATATAATATATAGAGATAACTTATAAGTATAAATTAAATATTTGTAATAATTTATTATATAAATACAATTTTCATTGTATGTACTCGTATAAGAGCGAGTACGTGATTTAATATATCCATAAAATTAACCTCAGTTACAAATTCTACTTTTAGACGAATAATTTAAAAAAAATAAATAAAATTTTCAACTTATTTTTTATTTCTTATCATTTAATTATTCAATAATGTTGAGTACTACTATTTACAAAATTCATGTTCATTAAATCCTAGAGTCACACAATGGTTACACATTTTTTTCTGTCGTCTGATCATTTGTAGATTGAAAATGTTTCAACTCTGCATCGATTCTTTCTTTCGCTCTAACAACTTTAGATTGGAGGTAAAAAGATCCACCTTTTGATCTATCATTGGCATCAAATAAGTATTTGTAATTTTTTTCAATGGCATCTTTTTGAGTAGGTTTTTCAACGTTTAAGATACGAAGAGCCTCTTCAAGTGATATTCCAGTTTTTGTTGTAGTTGTAGCACTTTGTGTACCTTTTACACCACCACCAGCACGTTTTGCTGCTTCTTGGCTAGCCGCTATTTCTTGGCGAAGTGCTCGGGCAAAAGCTTTACCAATTATTTGGGTCCCTAGGACAATTATTTGGGCTAAGTATTTGGCCATAACGATTCACTTAATGGATGTGTTGTTGGTAGTCGATTATTTATCTCATAAATTATTTTAAAATAATCCAGTGGTTTGAGTTGTAACTTTTTCAGGTTATATCATTTGAACATCGATTAAACTCGAAACATTTATTGGCTAATTATAGTTTGAATTTTAATCATTATTGTAATCATGAATTGTTGAATTCACGTCAGTATTAAAATATTCAACTGACGAATTGTAATTAACAAAAAACAAGAGAATAATCTTTTTTAACAGTAAAAATTTTTTTTGAAGGTCAACAATGAAAAAAAACATGTGTATATAAGCAATAAATTAGCGCCAGATTTCAATTTTTTAAATACATTTTGAAATAGAATATTGGTACATTTAATGGAAGATTTATATGATTAAATAGTTTAAATAGATTAAATAAACAATCATTTAATTTATATAGAAAATTCTGATATAATTGAATAAAAATTTTTATTATTTGTATTAATTATTTAAAGCCATCAACTGTATAACAAGAAAATTTTATTTTTATGTAATATTTTTGTCAATATGTTGTCGACCCTGACAATCTGTCTTTCTCATTCCAAAAACGGTCCGAAAGACTTTAAGGCTGGGCTGAAGTCAGAGAGGCGACTGATTCCCCCTATCCAAATACATGGGATCGGGATATTTCTAATTTCTTCGCCAATTTACTATTATTTCTATAAAATTAGGTACCAAATTACAGAGGAATTAATGCCGGACTGACGTAAACAACAATTTTTTGTATGTAGTGAATATTTTTATTAAAAAATTAGAAAGAATAATGAAAAAAATTATGAATTGGCCACATCATTCAGATGAAAAATCACGAATTATTCTATTTTTATACGTTTTTCGCCCAAAATTCGTGTTTGCGTCAGTCCTTGCCACCTGTCTGAATGTCAAAAAAATCAATTCATAGTATAAAATTGAATAATTTAGAAATAATTAGAAATCTTGTATTCCAGATGATATTCTCCGGAAAATTAGTTTGAAAAAATTCTGATAGGTGACAGCATTATGCTCGCAGATGACCTCAGTCATTCATATTGAAAAAATGCTCAATCCGTACACTGACAGAAAAAATGTGATAGCTAGAAAGTATACTAGCGGCAAACACAAAATATACTCAATTTGAGTATAATTATTTTTTGATGCAAGTACATTTTATATCAAAATGAAGTTTAAAGTGTACTGTACAATCATAATAACATTAACTTGATTTTAATTTTTCATCACTCAATCCTAATATAATATTAATTTATACCAAGAATAGCGATTACTGCATTTTTGTAAATATTTTGCTTATCTCAAGTAGGTAGATAATAGAAGAAGATTACAAAGTTTACTTCAGTTGATAATATAGTTTTCTTACACTGAGAATCTTCCTTACTTACCACAAGTGTATTTTATACGGAGATCCCGTATAAAGCGTACTTATGCTAAGTATAATGCTGTTTTACACTTTAAAACACCATGTTCTCACATTATGAATCCTTTTTTATTAATAAAAAAATACTTGTTACTTGATTCAAGTATATCAATTCTTCACTGCAAGTATATTATATACTTAAATTAAGTATACGAAGTACTCATGCTAAAATTTTTTTCTTATTAAATTTAAAAATTTCAAAATATAAATAATTATATTAATAATAAAAAAGTTACTGTTATACCCATTGGTATTGGTCAATTTAAATTAGTGACCATTACTAATGAAGTAATTTAATGATTAAATATTCAGTAATTAATAAATAGATGAAAAGTAATCTTATAATAATTACAACAATTACTGTTGTACTTTTAAATACGTGGAGCTGCTACACTTACCAAATATTTATACCTGTATAACTTTTAACAGGTGCAAAATAATAAAAAACTTTGCATGGATGAAATGTTCCATTTTTAATTCTGCACATTTTGAGCCCAAAATCGGGCTGATCGGTGCATTTGAACCAAAATGGGAATGATTTAAATAATTTATTGTTTATAAAAATAATGAAAAAATCAATGAAAAAAAAATTTTTCCCTAAAAATGAAATTCAATATCTCCTTTTTCTAAATAAATCGCCAAAAAGTAATATTTCTAACATTTAGTATTTTTTATTAATTTTCTTAGACGCGACTGAAGCTTTTGTCAATAGTGAAGCTTCAGTCGCGAATAACTTTTTATCTATCATAGATATGAAAAAAAGTGTTCAGTACTTTTTTTATTAAAATTCATTCTGAACAACTTTTATTTGAAACATTTTTTTATATCTATCATAGAAATCGAGAAATTTGCGAGGGGGGGCGGTTTTTCGCGATTTACTTCCCCCCTATGCGTGCCAAACAATTTTAACCTACACTATCGTATTCCTCGCGGAATTTCCAATCTAGTCATCTATAAATCACTACTTTGGCCGGAGCAAATCATATTTATCCCATTTCCCTCATTTGATTGGACTATACAATTATCCTAAGGACACAGAAATATGACATTTTGCGTTTGTTAATGTATTCATAGCCTCTCATCCTCAATGAGTCTAACCTCTTTGACCTTGACTCAAGCCACCCCACAAAATAAAGAAATTCATAAAAATTGATAAACGACTTAAAATGATTTTTTTTGTCATTGATTAAAGTGTGAGACTAAATAATTTGTGGCTTAGCGCTACGTTACGAAAAGAAATTCTTTCGATCGTATTATAACTAAAGCACGTGCAACATAGGCATCAAACGCCATAGTTGTAGACAGTATTTTGTTTTTGTAATTCGAACTAAATCACGGTTATTTTTGATCATTAATTATTGTACAATAAATAATTTATTCATCATAATTAAATACATAATATTAAATAATTTATTGCTGAGCGCTGAGTTTGGAGATGAACTTTTAACAGTAAAAGAGTCTGACTGCAGAAGCTCGAGATATTGAAATATGCAACAATAATTGTTGTAATTATAAGAAAATTATAATTACCTCTATGGATTTTTTATTGTTCAATTAATAATTTATCTATCATCATCAAAGATATGATATTAGATAGTTTATAGCTAATAGTCCAGTCAAACGAGGGAAATGAGATAATTTTGGTTTGCTGCGGCCAAATTAATGATTTATAGATGACTGGATCGGAAATTCCGCGAGGAATACGATAGTGTAGGTTAAAATTGTTTGGCACGCATAGGGGGGAAGTAAATCGCGAAAAACCGCCCCCCCTCGCAAATTTCTCGATTTCTATGATAGATATAAAAAAATGTTTCAAATAAAAGTTGTTCAGAATTGAATTTTAATAAAAAAAGTACTGAACACTTTTTTTCATATCTATGATAGATAAAAAGTTATTCGCGACTGAAGCTTCACTATTGACAAAAGCTTCAGTCGCGTCTAAGAAAATTAATAAAAAATACTAAATGTTAGAAATATTACTTTTTGGCGATTTATTTAGAAAAAGGAGATATTGAATTTCATTTTTAGGGAAAAATTTTTTTTTCATTGATTTTTTCATTATTTTTATAAACAATAAATTATTTAAATCATTCCCATTTTGGTTCAAATGCACCGATCAGCCCGATTTTGGGCTCAAAATGTGCAGAATTAAAAATGGAACATTCATCCATGCAAAGTTTTTTATTATTTTGCACCTGTTAAAAGTTATACAGGTATAAATATTTGGTAAGTGTAGCAGCTCCACGTATTTAAAAGTACAACAGTAATTGTTGTAATTATTATAAGATTACTTTTCATCTATTATTAATTACTGAATATTTAATCATTAAATTACTTCATTAGTAATGGTCACTAATTTAAATTGACCAATACCAATGGGTATAACAGTAACTTTTTTATTATTAATATAATTATTTATATTTTGAAATTTTTAAATTTAATAAGAAAAAAATTTTAGCATGAGTACTTCGTATACTTAATTTAAGTATATATATACTTGCAGTGAAGAATTGATATACTTGAATCAAGTAACAAGTATTTTTTATTAATAAAAAAGGATTCATAATGTGAGAACATGGTGTTTAAAGTGTAAAACAGCATTATACTTAGCATAAGTACGCTTTATACGGGATCTCCGTATAAAATACACTTGTGGTAAGTAAGGAAGATTCTCAGTGTAAGAAAACTATATTATCAACTGAAGTAAACTTTGTAATCTTCTTCTATTATCTACCTACTTGAGATAAACAAAATACATTGGCTCACATTATACTGATTCCAAGTAGAAAGACTACTTAAATACAAGTACTCTATTTCATAAAACTTGTATACTTTTTACTTCTTCAAACCGCTTGTAGTCTACTCAGGAGTGGTATATTCTGTATTTAGACTAAGTTTTTTTTTTATTCATTTTAAAACGAAGTTTTACTGATTCCAGGTACTTTCTTTACCTGCCTTCCGAAACTTTTTTACCTATCACTTTTATACTGGGGACAAGTAAATTGTATAATTCGCCACCGGAAAAAATTTCTGTCAGTGCAGAACTGATGGTTGCCCTGCATTTTGGCGAGTAATTTGTGTATGTGTGTACGGGTAATATATGTATGTGATGTAAACATAGTGTATTACTTTACAATGCCCTACACTTTGATGACTATTGCAGTTAGAATAAATGAAAATGATGATACTCATTTAACATTAATTAATATAATACCTGAAAATAACTTCAACAAATATTCATCCATTATCATCATTTTTATTAGGTATAAATGTTAATAAAGAAGCTCAATTCCAAGTCGGCGTATCCAAGCATGTAGTATAAAAACAAATACACATAAATTCAATATCGAGATTATGCTGGCTGCAGGCTTAGGAACAGAGAGTGGGGGTAGAGCTTGCCGGGAAAGTGCCGAAACTCGCCACAGATTGTTTAAACTACTTTTTATTGTTAATAAGTTGTTAAAAAAGGCTATTATCAATGTATTTGTACAAAAAAAGGTTAATGGCCCTGTTCAAATATTTTCTTATTTGTCATCGATTAATTGAAAAATAATTTCACATAAAAATTGAAATTTAAAACTCATTTTTAGCATGATAAAATTGCAATTACATGCAATTTAAATAAAAAAACAATTTTGCCGCAATTGGAATCGAACACCGTTCGGTAAAATAAATGTCAAATCTTCTGACTACAGAGCCAGCATATTTTCATTTGCTTTGTTTACGTTTAGATATCATAAGCTTCAGGCTTGGTAACAGAGGGTGGGGGATGTACTTGCTCGTCAACTGTTCGAACTCGCAGTCTTCTCTGAAAAATAAGACGGAGATAGATAGATATATTC